TGGCCTGCTGTATTCATCCAGCTCTACACCTTGCTATCTCTGGTTTATACTATCTCTTTTACTATCCCTTATTGATTTAAGGAGAAGCTCAAGAAAAACACAATTGCTCAAGAGTGGATACAACTGGTTCTTCAAACACTCCTGGCTAATTATCTAGTACACATTCACTTCCCAATCAACTTCCCAAATAATAACTGCTTCATTCAGCACATTCATTTACAGATCTCACATCACACTTATTTTCCATAATACTGATTGTTTTGGTCATCAGACATCTGACAGCCAATGCATTATTTTACACAGAATTTACAAGGCAGAGAAAGGCCATTTGGACCAGTGCCAGTTTTTAACTTGCCACACACAGCTACCTTCCATTGTTTTTCACTTCATCTCATCCTATCAGCTTATCCTTCATTATTTTGCCCCTCACTCATATACTTATTGAGCTTCCCCTTAAATGCATCTATGTAACAATTCCATTTTTCTTTCAACATTCCCATTTGGCAATGAGTTTCCCCTGAATTCTTTACTGAATTTATTAGTGATTTCATAATTTTGGTCCTTGGTTTTGGAATGTTAAGAGTCATTCTGGAAAATATATAAAGAAGGTATATATGATAAACTGACAAACTGTAAACAGTCCCAGAGAATGTGTCATTTTTAAGTAGTTTCAGTTGACTTAGATACACACTCATATGGATAAATACATCTATATATTATGCATAAACACTTACATATATTCTAAATAGGTTACCTGAATAAGAGGAATAACAACAATACTGTAATATCAAGTCGACACGACTGAAATAAACACATCATTTGTAACTACAAAAACACATTTCAATTTAGTTCTGCTCACCCAGCCCTCCCTTTCACTATCATTTTCTGATCTTCCTTCTCCCTTTTCCATTTTAGAAATCTTAACTTTAACTATTGATACCTTACCTATACTTCAATTCATTAATTTTCCTTTCCAGACTAGACTAGGTGCCCTTTTTTATTCAGGAAAGGGGTTTCGTGTCCATAGAAATACACCACTGAAAAACACTTCAGATATTTTTTTCCTTCAATCCAAACATCATGCAGAACAATGAAGACAGTTAAAATCATGTAGCAGATTTTGATCAACCTTTGACATGATCACACACAGTAATGAGATATCCCATACTGAGCTGGGCAAATGACCTTCCTTAAAGAAAAACAATTAGTTTCTCTTGCTCTATCGCAAGAAATAATCCTGGATACTGAGATCACACAATTCAACTGAGTTTTACTCATATGGTGTTCAATGACATCTAAATCCTTGACTAACGCCTTACAAATCACTGGCAGTTATTTTTGATCCCATCTGAATATTTTTGAAACGTGTAAAACAGACATCAAATCCAGATTTAAGAGGAAACACATGCAAACCAAACACACCATTGGCATCACTACTTCACACATATTTTTATTCCCCTTTCAGTTACTTAATGGTAGATCATACATGCAGGATTTGTTAGCCCTGCAAAGAATTTCCCCTGCCCTTTAATCTCACATGTATTTCCATGTGACATACCTCTCTTCTCAAAATGCAGTGGACCATTACAATGACAAAGCCTTCCAAAGAGTCAAAGACAGCAAAGAGGATCTGAAAGAGGGCTGATCTTCGATCAGTGATGGCTAACACTGCAGACATCCAGGTCAGTGCTAGAAGTGGCAGGACAACACAAGAGCTCCAAAGAGATGCCCTATAAAGGGAGGAGAAAAAAAGATATTAGGAAGAAAATGTGAAATACCATCTGTCAGTGTCAGGTCAATGTTATCATTTATCTGAGACTCAGGTTAATACATAATCCAAATACAATAAAGCAGAAGTGCCAAACAAACAACTATTACAATTAGAAGGAGGAAATGGTCTATTAGTATTATCGGTGGACTATAAATCCAGAAACTGTTCTGGGGGCCCCAGGTTTGAATCTTGCCACAGGAGATGGTGGAAATGGAATTCAATTATAAAAAAGTCTGGAATTAAAAATCTATTGATGTCTGTGAAACCATTGCCAATTGTCAGAAGAGAAAACTTCTGACTCACTAATGCCCTTCAGGAAAGGAAATTTACCAACATCACCTGGTCTGGCCTAAAATTTGATTCGATTTATTATAGCCACATGTAGCAAGTTTTGTTTTGTGTGCATTACAGGCAGATCATACCATACAAAGTGCATTTGGGTGACTGAACTGAGCGAAGAAATGTGACTCCAGACCCACAGTCATCTGGTTGACTTTCAACTGCCCTTTGAAATGGCCTAGCAAGCCATTCAGTTCAAGGGCAGCTAGGGTCGGGCAATAAATGCTGAAACAGCCAGCGTTGCCCACGTCCCGTGAATGAATTTTTTAAAAAATCCCCACAATACTAAGGATAATACTAAAGGTTGTGCGGTTTCCTATGTTCAAAAAAAGACCTGTACCATTTAGACTTGCAACAAATATATTTAGTTTCATTTCAACTCAAGGATTTAATTGTTTCTGTCAGCAGAAACAACTTTACAGATTTCCTTTTACCAAGTTCCACTCCAATAAACTGATCAGTGAGAATATCCATTTTTCCTCTTAATTTCTTTTTTCTGGCACGTTATCCTGCATTCAACGCTGAAAATACTAATGATTATTAGCACAATAACTGGTCCAAAAACATCATCAGCTTCATAAAGCAGCAAATCATATTGCACTCAGTACACTTAAAAATACATTTGGAATAATTAGAGGATATGTCATTACCAGCAGTGAGATGTGATATGTCCAAGAAGGACATGGGAGGAGATTTGATGTAAATCTTCCATACACATCTTGCTCAGTTGTAAACTTATTGAATTAGAAAATGTCCTATACAGATTTCCCCTGCCCCTTCTTAAAGTTATAAAATAAAACTTCAACATTTCTACATAAGTCTACATTATCCTGTTTCAGCCACCAACTTTCTGTGCAAACAAATCTGTGTCTCTGATATAAAATTACAGAAAGTGCTGAAAAAAACCCAGCCAATTTGGCAGCATCTGTGGAGAGAGAAAGATAATTAATGTTTCAAATTGGCATTTTTGTACAGCTCGAGAAAGTAAAGATCGAATGAGGGAGAGGGTGGAAAGAGCAAAAAGGAAGATCTTATGGGGTGAAAGGCAGGACAGATTGTATAGCAAAGGGATAATGGTAAAGAGATATATGTACAATTAAAGGATGAATCAACAGATGCAAATTGATGCAGCAATCATCCAAAAAAAAAAATGGGAGCAGAAGTTTTAATCTGAAATTGATGCAACTCGATTTTGATTTTGGAAGAGTTGAAAGCACAGCATCGAAAGATGAGGTGTTGTTCCTGGAAACTTATGATGAGCTTCACTGGAACAGCGTAGGAGGCTGAGAACAAAGCAGTCAGAGTGGGAGTGAAGTGTCAAGCTTGTGGACTAAATGGAGCTGTTACACATAGCTGTCATCCAATCTATGTTTGGCTGCACTAATGTGGAGAAGTCTGCATTGTGGGCAGCAAATACAGTACATTAAATTGACAAAAGTACAAATAAATTGCTATTTTACCATAAGAAAAAAAAAACAAGTATTTGGAACAATGGGAGTGAATGAGCTAATGGGGTTGCTGTTGCATCTCCTGCGCTTGCACGAGAAAGGTGTCAGGGAAATGGAGAGGTTGTTGGCAGATAAAGAAGTGTCATACTAGGACTTCTTCCTCAGGATCCTGAAGATGAGGAGAGGGGAAGATGGCAGAACTGGCAGGAGATATTTGGTTGGGGGTGGTAAAGTTGACAACCAGAGGAAGCAGGATTCTGGGAGGAAAGGGGTAAGGAAAGAAGTTTAGGGTATGGAATCAACACAGCTGACAGCCCTGACTATTGGCAATTCCTAAGGTTCAAGAACAGGGAAGACAAATTGAAAGCACTCAAGTGGGAGGTAATTTAGTCAGAGTAGAGGTAATGAATACTGAAACTGGGAGAATAGACCACACTCTCTACAGAAAGGTATAAATAAATATAGCCCAAGGACTGTGTGTTCAATAGACTTGCTGTGAAAACTATATGCAGTCTAATTGATACTTATACTGGTATATGTGTATATATGTAACACAATTCCGGTCTCCCTGCTATAGGAAGTGTGTTGTGAAACTTGAAAGGGTTCAGAAATGATTTACAAGGATATTGCCAGGTTTGGAGGAATTGAGCTACAGAGAGAAGCTGGATAGGTTGGGGCTATTTTCCCTGCAGCACCAGAGGCTGAGGGGTGACCTTACAGAGGTTTAAAAAATCATGAGGGACATGGATAGGGTGAATAGACAAAGTCTTTTCCCCAGGGTGGGGGAATCCAAAACTACAGGGTTATGGGTCTAAGGTGAGAGGGGAAAAATTTGAAAGGCACCTGAGGGGCAACTTTTTCACGCAGAGGGTGGTGTGTCTATGGAACGAGCTGCCAGAGGAAGTGGTGGAGGCTGGTACAACTACAACATTTAAAAGGCATCTGGATGAGTATACGAATGGCAATGGTTTGGAGGGATTTGGGCCAAATGCTGGCAAATGAGACTAGATTTATTTAGGATATCTGGTTGGCATGGATGAGTTGAACAAAAGGGTCTGCTGTACAACTTTATGACTCTACATGTGTGGGAATGAGGTAGCAGTTTGTGAATTAATCCTTAGAAGGCCCAGCACAGATGTGATGGGTTGAATGGCTTTCTTCCATGTTATAATGATTCCATGATATTCTTTCATAATCAAAAACTCTATCATCCTACGCTTGAACTTATTCTTTTCAAGATGAAAAAAAGATAGCCCCTGAACGAAAGAATGGATTGAAAACAGAAGGCCATTTGGCCCATCGTGACCATGGCATTTTTCTGCAAGAACAACTCATTTTGTCCCACTCCCCTACTTTTCCCCGTAGCCCTGCAATATTTTTTCCTATAGATAATTAACCAATTAATTCTGCAAGCCATGACCTAATCGATCTGCACTACCCTCTCTGGCAGCACTTTCTCCAACCTAGTGATTTATTGCATGAAGCAGTTTTGCTTCATGTTTCCATTGATTCCTTTCTCAATCGATTTAAATCAGTGCTCTTTGACTTTCAAACCTTCTGTTGATAGGAACAGCTTCCTGCTATCCAACCCACTTACATCCTTCATGATTATTTGAACAGCTCTGTCAAATCGTCCCAAACTTATCTCCAAAGGGAATGGCACTAGCTTCGCCAATTGTTTGAGTTTTTATTGTGATCTGTATAACCTCTCATTTCTCGTCATTCTTTTTTTAGTGCTTCAAGACATCAGCGGTTAAAGTTATGAGGAAACATTATACAAACTTGGCCTGTTTTCTCAATAATTTAGAAGATTTAGGGGTGATCTGATCAAAGTATTCAAGTTATTAACAGCAAAAGGCAGGGTAGATACAAATAAACTATTTCCACTGATTGGAGATTCCACAATGAGGAGGCATAATCTAAAAATTAGGGCCAGACTGTAATGGAGAAATGTTAGAAAGTACAAGTACACACAAAGAGTGATACAGGTTTGGAACTCTCTTCCATAAATGGCAGCTGATGCTCGATTAGTTTTTTATTTTAAATCTAAGTTCAAGAATTTTTTGTTAAGCAGAAGTATTAAGAGATATGAGCTAAATGCAGGCATAAGGGTTTAGTCCATAGATCAGCCATGAAAATGGCAGAACAGGCTGAATGGCCTACTCCTGTTCCTATGCAAGATTCTTTTTTTGCAATATGGAAACCAAAACTGTACATGCAACTCCAAATGCCATTTTCCCAAGGTTCTATATTAGCATAAAGTTGGTCTTCTGCTTTTCAATTTTGTAAACCTCTATGAAAGAATCTTAGCATTTTGCTTTTTTTTTAAATGGCCTTATTTCCAAATTTTAGGTATTTCACCTCTCTGCTACCACCACCATCTCCCCTCCACCATCCTATATTGCCTCATTATTCTTCTTGCCAAAAAGAGAGTCACAGAAATTATACAGAAATTACTTTGCCAATTAAAAACTCATTCTGAACATTTATTGAACTTTGGATTCCAAGGTACAAATTGTTTGCACAAATTTTCAGCAGCATTGAACACTAAAATACACCTCACCTTTTGCAAGTGACAAACAGCAAAGCATTAGCATTAGAAAAGGATGTTGCAAAGACAGAAAACAGAACTTTTAATCAATTAGCCTGAAACCAGCAGAAGAGAAACCTGTATACATTATTATGGACATGGCAACAGGAACTTGGGAAATCATTATATAATTCAGCAGAGTTAGTATAGCTTCATGAAAGAAAGAGTGTTTTTGACAATTTGTGAGCATCCCTGAGTTTGTAATTGGCAAGGTAGATAATGCAGAATCAATGGATGTACAGCAGTATAACTGGATTTTTTAAAAACTGACATGGTGGTGCACAAGATCTTATTGAACAAAATTAGACCCTATGGGATAAGGGTTAATATATGAACACAGTCAGTGGACTGGTTAGTAGACAAACCTCAAAATCTATTCACTTACACAGAATAGAAATCAGATATTTTCATGGATTACTGCAACGAAATAAGGTCTTTGTGAGACCACACCTGCTACATACTACATAGAGGTAAACCTGCCTTGCAGGGAATGCAGAGGATTCATCATACTGATCAATGATGTAAGGAGATTGTCCTTAAGAAAGACTAGGTAGGGCTAGACCTGCACTCCTTAGTATTTCA